AATATCAGAAATATGAGCAATGAGAAAAATCCCACCATCTGGTCTGCAAGCTTAAGAACAGTCCTCAGTGACAATTTCCTACCGCAGAAGTTGAAAAATCCTTGAGGCTAGACCCCAGTAAATCCATAACAAGGACATTCGTAGACCCCTTCAATACCAAACCATTTAACATTTGCAATTCCAGCTGCAAAGATTGAGACAGTATGACGCAAAATTAATTGAATCAGGAAAACAATCAGATTATTGAAAATACTAATCCTTTGCTTCTTAGAATCCTTTCCAAGCAAAAAGTACTTCCTCCCTGTAGCATCTTATATAATTTTGATTCATACAGCAATTGAGGATGCTTTGTCTTCACGTTTTCCTGAGAAACATATATATTATGAGAGCCTATGCGGAGAGGAATATAGTTTTAAAAAAATCCATAAAATCCACAAATATCAGAATGAATGAGAAAAATAACAATCTGCAGGAGTGTTCATACTGACTCACACTGCATAGTCACTAACCAGTCCTAGGTACCAATGTCCAAGTAATTATAATCACAATTCATGGTTTCGACATTCTTCAAGCACAATAGATGACGTTAAAAACTGCTTAGTTCATGCATGCTGTCTCTAAAAAAAACAGATTATACTACAAAGTCTCAAGACAAGCTAAGCAATTGCTTCAGAAGTAAAAACAAGTAATAGTACCCATTACTTAATTTGTCATATATCATCAGAAAATTATTAAAAAAAAATAATAATAATGAACAACTCAAGAAGCACAAGTTAACGAAATACCCACCAACTTAATTGCGACCACCTCGTTCGTCTGAATATTAGTACCTAAAAATACACCAAAAATAAGCACAAAAATCCCAGTTGGGTAAGAAAAAGAAACTAGAAAAAAAAAAAAAGGCACAAACCCAGATAAATCTCTCCGAAGGATCCACTGCCGATCTTCCGGACGAGTCGAAACTTATTGACCACTCGAGGCTCCATCACTGAATGATTAAAACAAAAGTTTCTAGCTCTCTGTGCAGCCTGTTTGCACTGAATTTATAAGTGTTTTTATAAGAAGAAACCCTAAACAAAATTGAATAGGGGCAAAAAGAAAGGGAAAATTGGTTGCCGTACAACGGAAGCGTTGATTGAGGTTAGGCTTTAACGATTAGCGGGAATCAACGGCAAGGTGGGGGAGTGGAAAAAAAGCGGAAACTTTCTCTCTCTCTTGAAGCAGATTTAAGAGAGAGAAAAAGAAAAGGGTAAAGAAACCACTAGCCCCTAATTTGTTGAGATACGACGTCGTTTTTCGATTTTTTTTTTTTGGCTTTATTATAAAGGATTATGAAAAATAAATAACACTTACTAGTGATTAAATGT